TGGGACCTAAGTGCTGGGAGCGTGCTTTCTGCATCGAAGGCAAAGCTTCTCTTTGAAATCTCGGCTGCTGAAGGACGGCGAGTGCACGGGCTGCAGCACCTGGGAGCAAGGGACGGGAGAGCGGCCCTCCCCGCGTTGGGCCAGGGAGCAGACATGCGCGGACCGAGCTGGAGCAGCTGGCAGTCGCCGTGTGGTGCGAGCCAAGGCTGGGACATCCCTCGGCTCCGGTGGCTCTGCCTGGGCAGGTGGCAGCAGCTGGCAGGGGAAGCAGATGACGGGGTTTTCCTGGAAAGCTTTCTGTCTGTCTGCTCTGCTGCGGGGGCAGAAGCAGTCCGGGTGAGAGTCTGGCCCAGCAGAGCGGCAGCACGCTGTTACGGGCTCCTGTCCCTGCCTGCGGCCTTCCCCCTACTCTTCGTCTCCTTCCTATTAAGTGGGTCCTGACACAAAGCACAGAGCTCTGATCGCAGAGATCATATGCAGGAATCAAAAAAAATCTGGGCCAAACTCTGCTCCTTGCTCTCTCTGCCTCCCGTTCTGTATCTCCCTGGATGTCTTGGGCCAAATGTTGTCGTCTTTGCAGAGGGATTACACCTCCAGGGCAATGCTAATCCTCTGCAGCTGCTGTCTAGCGTGGGGCCGGCGGTGCTGGAAGTGAGGGAAATATTTATTTTGAGTTTTGCCATTGGCCACTGCCCAGGAAAAATGAGTGACCGTACTGGGGACTTTGGCCACTTCCACACGCAGGGAGAGCTGATCTTCCTGCCCCGCTGGCGCCTGCGGGAGAGGGGTGAGAGCTTCCCCCGGCAGGCTGCAAAGTGGGACCACCCAAGCAAGATTTTATTTGGATGAGGGAGCGGCTGTGCACCCTGCGGGCTACCCTGGGACGTGATGGGGAAAGCCTCGGAGCCGCTAGAGGTGAGAAGATGATGGATGCTAAGCTGTGCTGAAGCAGACCTGCAGGCCGCCTGCTCCACTGTCACCTCATGTGTTGCCCCCTGCGGCCCCAGGAATGACTTTTCCTCCCCGTGAGACAAAGGGCCCGGCACCGTGGGGAGTGGAGCTGGCGGTTGCGAGGGGAGGCGGCGGGCATAAGCAGCGCACACGTGTGCCGGGCTCAATGCAGCCGGCGGGCGCATCCCGCCCGCAGCAGGGCTGTGCTGGCACTAACCCCTGCCCAGGCAGCACCCGGAGCCTCAGTCCTGCCTGCAGCGCGCGCGGGCGGCAGGTTCAACCCCTCCCAGGGCCTCGCGGCTCTTCCCTCCGTCCGCAGCGTTGTTTCCTCCGGCCTTGAGGCCGGCCAGTCGCTGCTCGGCGTATCCCGGCCCCAGCTCTTCCTCTGCGCCGAGCCCAGCTTCCTCTCTGCTTTCCGGGTCCTCTCCTCAGTGGCGCACAGGGGATCGTGCCCTGGCTTGCAGAGGAAGAGGAGGAAGCAGGAGGAAGCACGGTTTCTCCTGTGCCAAGCGGGCTGAGAAAGCCCCTGCCAGCCCTGGTCACCCCCATCATCCACACTCCAGCAGTGTGTGGAGTCCCATCCTGCAGCGGCCAGCACCGCCCCGGCAGGGCCTGGAGGACGCTGAGCTCCCAGGGTCTTTTCCAGGTCGGGCTTCTGCAGCTTATTTTTGGGACGCTGGGAGCTGCCTGGTGGGGGTGGATCCTGGCAGGGCCGCCTGGTGCCTGCCAGGGCCAGGCTGAGCGGGACTCGCAGTCCCCCGAGCCACCAAAAGCCCTGTCCCTTGCGGCAGGTGCATCCCTGCCCTCCCCGGGGTCTTGCGTCTGTGGGTGGCCGGAGGTGAGCCGACCCTGCTGTAGGTATGCAGGGCAGAGCGGGAGCCTCCAGCAAAGAGCCTGGGCCCTGCCGAAATACTGGGCTTTGTCTCTAGCAGGGTCCCTGGTTGCTGTTCATGAGCGTTTCCAGATGGCCCCGGGGCGCCTGGCACCAGCTCCGCTGCAGCATCCGGG